TTTTGACGTAGTAAAGTGGCGCGCTTCTTGTCCCCTTCTGTGGATAAGAGTGCGATTAAAGCATTGCATAGAGGCTCATGCACAAGCTTTGCCACGATCTTTGAATGACCACACAGCTCCTCAAGTCACCACTGAAGGTGCAGGTGGACTAGGATGATCGAAGAACCCTCGAAGTTAAATGTGTGCCATTAAAACAAGCACAATTTCATTTCCAGTTCTAGCAAAATGAAATTTTGTCCCTTATTTTGTAGGCCCTTTTTGTTTTCAGCGTGATTGTGTATGGCAAACTTACATATAAGCATTCCTATGGTGTCTAGAATTTTCCACATTATTCGGTGGTACTAGGATGGCTTCTTGCTTCCTGCAGTGTTGCCTGCATTCCCATCGTTGCCGTCTACCGGTTTTTTAAGGCCAAAGGCAGTCTGTGTCAGGTATAGTGGATTTTATCTCTGTTACACAAAGCCTACATTTGCAGTTGATGCGCCTGGTAAACACACGATATCCCCTTCAGCGCTTTCAAGCCCTGTGTCAACCGAACCTGACGGAAGCAGCGCTGATGCACTTAGACGCATCGGACGAATTTCCACAAAGTGAGTCCATTCATCATGTTGTAATCCAAATGTGTCTACACCCTTTTTTGAAAAGAATTTACCTCTTATTGCCGGGACAATGAGATGCGACTTCGGTACCAAAATATTGACTCGGTTAGCTGTTTCACCTGCATTTTTATGAAATCTGTCACGGTGATTAACAACAGCTAACTTACATTAAGTATGTACAAATATTTGTCTGCGCTTGTGCAACTAGTGAGAGCCGTGTGAATAGGATAAGTGGTTTTTGAGCAAGTGAATGTCAATAGCGAGAGCAGGAAAATAGTATGTTCGACCAATGCATTACGGGAGTGGCCTATATTTTTTGCAGAAAGGCTAAGTAACAAACTCTACAAACTCAATTGCAATACCTAAATTCAAATTGGATACCATGCACAAAGCAGTAAACAATAAGTAAGGAAATTAAAGATGCTCGTATTTTTCACTGCCTGGACGAAGTAAGATGCGCTCAATGAAAGATTATGAGAATCAGAATACACCTTCACTTTGGCATGGCTTAGTTGGGTTGCGGTACTGTTCAAGTGAAGACCACTGAGCTAGAGAGTAGAAGCACATCAAATGCGAATTGAACACTAAAGGGCCAAACAACTTAACGCTTTCAATCAACAGTAATTGTGCAGGTTTCACTACTGAAATAGCAGTAGTGCCTATTTGGCATCAATTCTATGGCACCATCTCAACTAAAAAAGACAGGATGATAACGAAAAGGGAGTCCCCACTTCACTAACACCTAAAGTTATGTAACACGCCGCTCCTACAAAGTGTCCCGCCCTTACCACCGCCCTGTTTAAAAGTGCCAGTCGAGAGGAGCATTGGTAGTGGCCTTCATGTAGTTGCCCAAAAAAAAATGAAGGTTTTAGTGGCTGCCACAAAAGTATTTGTGCATTCATGAAAAGTGTGAAATTTGCACAGATATTTTGTTTTTTAACCTATCCGTTTATTTGCCCTTCATGGAAGCCAATCATCTTATTTTTCGATCCTCCATTATTATTCTAAGGGTACTCTCTTAAAAAGATGGGAAATAAAAGTCCTCCTGAATATATTAGAAAAAAAGAGTAAGGTGAACAATTTTTCAACGAAAAATTTGCCCATGCAAATGAAATTTGTTATTATTGCCTTCAGTGCCTTGTGGGGGAGAAGGCGTAAGTTCATAACAAATATTTATAGCACTTGTGCATCTTCCTTCTTTTCTTGGTACGTTTAAAAGCTTAACTATATATTTTTCCAGACCTATCTGAGAAAAACGACCAAAATATATTTTCAACAATGGAGATTAACGTGAGCACCCCCAAGATTCCTGACGGGTGTTCCCTCAGGACTACAGATTCACTTACAAGATCCGCTTAGAGTACGTCGCTCCTCCTTCATTTAATGCGTCTCTCAAGACATTACTTACTAGTTAGTCCTCACATGCATAACGCTGTGTTTGTTTTAATGCGCCATTTTGGTTGCCACGTTCACTCCCTCTCCCGCTTTTGCTCCCTCTCCCCAACCTCACAGACGCCTGGGCAAGGGGATAGACTTAAGAAACCACTTTGATTGTTGCTCATATTTTATTATATAAACGCACCATATTATGCATTATTGTTATTACCTTCACTACTACTGCTACCAGCATCCAAGGTGGTTTTCAATACTCCATTTTTCTCAAGAGTAAGTAGCCCCTTTCTTGTACTTATAGACAAGTAACCAAACGGTAATATTTGCAAAATTAGTGAGCTTGAAGCACTTGAATAAATTTATGGACCTGTAGATTCCTGCATTGTCCTCTAGGACAACAAAGCGTGCCATTGCAAGAGGAAAGCTCTAAACATGGACGTATGATGGTGTGACCTCCGGTGGGGGGGAAGACCTCGCGAAGCTAAACATACATTCAAACAAATAATTTTATAACACCCCTTCTCCCAATTAAACATCCTCCCTGGTGCCTCCATGATTACCCTTCAACGCTAGTTATTGCGTAGAAGAGTAGACGTAGTCGGTAGTCGGTGTTCTAAAAGCCATTGTGAACTAGGAATGATGGTCATTGGGGTGAGAACTCAATACTTATGTAGAATTGAGCGTGTTACGGGCTAGCAGTTACGTGCGTGAGTTTGGAGAGCAATCTCCATTTCAGACGTCTTTATTTACCACTGAGTAAGAATGGGCCGGAGATACGAAGTGTCCACATGACTGCTGAACGACCACCAAAGACCAAAAATGGTTGCATTCTTAATTGACCTTGGCCTCACTGCGAGTATTAGCAACCATGAAGTCTCTCTCTGTGTGAAATCGGCCAATAGAGGAAAGTGAAAGAGGGGGCAAGTTCTGAAGCGTTCTATAATGTTCGAGAATTAGCCACGAAAAGGCAACTTCTAGAGACTCAAAGTATTCGAAGGTATTACCATCACAGGTTTTCGCGATGTTGCGTCAAAGTCCATTCCTCCTTGCTGCATTATATTCATTTCAATTTCAAGCACCATCTCTCTGTGTTTCACTCGGCTATCATGAACGCAGCCTGGTGTCATTCCATCGTGTAATCCACAATTCTGCATACGATGGTCCAGAAGGCTCTACGGTGAATATTTTCAAAGTTCTCTCATTAAGCTCCCTCAAAATCATTCCTGAGGAGAAACAGAAGGGCCATTGCTAATAAACTGAAAGTTCGGGAGGTCATCGGGGTGGAAGAGCCTCCGCAACATTACTGGAATTAGGTTTCGACTAAAAATGCACGCTTATACACCAAGCAACTCGAGCTGTTTGAAAACGGATTTACTATCTTATCCCTGCTCCCCATTTGTAAAAACTTATTAAATCGTTGTCTTGCACATTTTCATCGTATCACAAAATCATTTATGCTGTCCAATATGCATCCAAAAATGGAAATAACAAAAACCTGCTCTTCTAAAAGGATCAACCAATAAACAGTGTATTTCAAAAACGGAAATCGTAAAAAAAATGAACCAACCATTTGTGTTACACAACGGTAAACCTAGTCTCCAAATTCAGAGCATGTCATCATCGTCAACTAAAAAGTGGACAGCGTCTTTTTTGACTTGAAAGCAGGCAAATGGCCTGCTTAGCTAATCTGCGTTGCTGTGGTGCTAAGACAAATTCTTTCCCGTTTATCTTTGTTTAACTTATGTGCTTCCATTATTCCTCATGATGGGGAGGCCACTCGTCCTGGTGCAAAAAATGTAACATTTTTACCTCGTACAAGTGAAATAGAACACTGAAATCTATTTCACTGTAAAATTTGGGCGCATAAGTCCAGAGAATTTGGGAATATTTAGTACCCTGCAGGTGTGTGTATTCTGAAGACTTCTTCATTAGGAACCGCAAATCGTAGCTCATTTCAGAAATACTTATTATCACATTCGAATGAGAACAAGCGAATCCCTCTGTAGAGTCTGTGAAATTTGTTTAAAGCTATTTTGCATTGCAAAAACCAATGCTTCCTTCTATCAGCCCTTCAAAAGTAGGTTCCCTTGTCTCCTTGGTCACTAAAACTAGGATAAATGACTTTAATTTTATGCAAAAAAGGGTTTGGGATCCGACTAGACTGTGTCACACTTCAAAACAAAGGCATTTTTGTAATAATTTAGGAAGCTAGAGTTAGTTGGGACAGTGGGGTCTGCTTTCCCATTTTTCTTTAGTTTCCAAATAGTTTAAACTGACCTCCATTCGAAATACACTAGCCGAAAAGTAAACTTTAGGGGAAGCCTGCAACCCAGGAGATGATCCTCTTTGATTGTCTAGACATTTTTACTTTCGTGGCCATTTCCCTAACAGCCCTGAAAACCGCCCTCTAGCTCATTCCCTCCTGATTGGCTGAGACCGCATTAGCTACACTTTTGGTGGGCCAATCAGCACTCTGGGTCCAGCATCAAGAATTCCTTACAATTACGCATGCCTAAGTTGGTCCACATTGGTCAGCCGGCCACTGTTTACTTGCTTACGTTGGTCAGGAAAGTTATCTGCTCTGAAGCCTTCACCTGCTGACTGCCTGGTTGGGAGGTCGGCAGGATTTGGATCGTTCGATCATGCAAATGTCGGTTAGAGGGAGATAGCTGGTTGTTATCGACAAAAATAATTTCAATTATAACTAAAAAGTGAAGTGAATTTTACTGAAATTATTTGGATAAAGTCTTATTTCTCACAGAACTGAATGGGACATATGACTGATAAATTGACTCATTAGGAATTACCTACTTCATGGAGTCAGTGGGAATGACTGGGTGAGTACTTCTGGCCTTACCGGTCATACTGATCTTAAACTAATTGCAACGAGTTTTGTGGGAAAAGTTAGATGCAGCGATAGGCAAGTCATCTTGCTCTTATGTGTTTCTAACTCTACAATTTCGTTAAATGCTCTTAGTCAGTAACATTGCCGAGCCTGTTAACGTTTCTTGCGTCAAATTTTCTTCGTTTTCAATTTCACCACAAAGGAGTATCGCATTCACTTTGAAGCACTGGTACTGTTTGACGTCAAGGCCTTAACACGGTGTCACGGGGACAGCTTTAAATAATTGCAAATTTATTTGGTGATGCTCAATGGGATAGTGAGGATGATAACAACAGTGGTGGCGGTGGTGATCGAGGCTGATCAACAGCGCTATGGGATGAAGCTGGAGAAGCACGTAAAAGCATAAACGGGAGGCAAATGCAGGGATAGGTGTCTACTTCTCGGTATCTGATGGCATATCGTAAGAGGGGATAGGCTCGCCCTCAATCTGCAGTTCGAACGAGTCATGTTCATTCGGGTGTCGGTGACGATATAGAATTGCAGCCTTCTTGCCAAGTAGTAGGAAGTCCATTCTTGAAATATTGGCCTCGGTTGTAGTCTAGGGAAACGAATCACTGATTACTACCTCCGCGATGTCGCTATCTGATTCTAAGACTACATCTTCTTCCAATTCCGCCACCAGAGTCTGTCTCAGTGGAAAATCGGCCAAGGAAGCCCTCTTTAAAGTTACTCTACCCCAAAACGAAGAAGTCTAATTTAAAAATGATATGGTGGAACCACAACTAGCATTAACTGATGGGTGCATTAAAGTATCCTATTTGCCTAGGAAATCTCTAAATAAAAGGGACTTACCACATATTCTAGACGTTCATCTTCGAACCATATATCCATTGAAGATTTTCCTTAATGGTTAAAAGCTTTATTAAAGCCTTGTCTAACCCGTCCTTGGCATTATTTCTCTTGTTCATTCACCGATTTTCTGTGAAAGTAACTATTATTTATTATTTTGACTTTCGTTTTTTCCAAAAGGAGCCATTAGGCATTCCAGAAGGTACACTGAGACTAAGACAAGTAGTACGTTCACATGCGTTTAGAGCTCGGACGATGCTTTACTTATCCCCACCGGCTCGGTATTACTGCGTGCAGATAGGTGCTCCCCAAACCATTATAAACAAATTTAGGAATGGAGGACTTACTTAATGCAATGCTCTGCTGTTTGCCTTCAATTTGAGGATTCCAGACAACGATGTCTTCTGTGGGCTTGTAGATGCAGACGGACCTGTGTTATTGTCGGAAAGTTAGCATCTATTTCATGGTGTTACAATCAACTTAATTACTTCCTACTCTCTGTTGGAATAGTGGAATAAAGAAGACTGCATGTACTGCAGTTAGTGCTGGTAATTTGCCTTTAAGCTCGCTAGAGGAATGAATGTAAGCTGGCAAAATGGTATTTTGTAAGTACAAAAGTTTGTTAATGACATAATAAGCAGTCGTGAAATAGCACTCCTCCTTACTTATTGAGCAGTTGGGGTGATGTAAGTTGTCAGTACTTTACTGAGAGACGTACAGCCTAACGAAATTTGTTTAATTTATAGTTGGTTTAAGTGGAATTAAATAAATTGAAAACAGTTTTTGATAGGAAAAAGTAAGTCAACCTCATGAGTTGGGTTGTGAGATGAACCACTGGAAAAAGCGTTGGAGGAGCCTCCTTTTGTGATCTAAAACAAAGAAGTTTCTACTTTTTAACTACTTTATAGTCACCTTTTTTTTAGTTTCTGCCATCCGAAGGCTTTTGCAACTTTTCCCATCGTCATCTATCTCAAAGCCACGTGATTGCCAGATATCGGATCTGCAGAAACAGTTAACCTTGCTTATTGGTCAATTTCTTGTGGACAAACACACTTGTGCTTTTTCTATCATTAACAAATTAAGGAAGGTTAACACCCCCAACTTAGCATTTGGACAAATGAACCGCAAACCTTCTGACTTTGCTTTTGGGGATGGTAGCGCTACTACTGTTTTCACTAGAGAGAGGTATAGAGAGGTGGAGTGGTATAAGACACTGACTTATAAGTCAAACCACTTTTTTCCTTCTACTGGAACCCACCTCATAAATCTACCAAACCAAGTGACTTGTTAGGACTCCGTTTTACTGTGCGGTACAAATGTCTCATAGGCATATCTGGCTCCCAATGCAGGAAGAAAACTTAGCTAAGTTTAATCAAGTTTTAGGGTGGTGATCTGTCGCCCTTATATTGGGTTTTCAATGTCGTCGAACCAACACATCAGTTATGGATAGACGTGACGTCGTAGTCTTTTCCCACCCACCGCACATACCCTCCCCTCGGAGACACCTTAGAGGGTAACTGGTCAGGACTCAAAGAAGGCGATAGCTGAGTATGGACTGGAATCTGGCATGTAACGCATCTGCTACCAGCGTCATAGTAGCTGCTCAAAAGGAAAGGAATTAGATGGAGGAGGAGTAAAGCAAACAAAGGTAATTGGTACCACTTTGGAAAACTAAAACTTTGAGCGTGGTGTATGTTCTTTCTGACTAACTACAATCTTCAGAAGCAAATAACTGGCTGGGTATGTGGATATAAAGGAGTAAAGTGATCTATCCAGTCAAATATTTGAAGGTATGCAACTTTAAAATAAATCTAGATACAGCCTGGTACACCATCCCTGGTCCATATTTGACATTTACTAAACCAAGTAATTTTTTGACAGCCACGAATTCTGACACTAATCTGGTGGCTGTTACAGGGAATGCTAAATGCGAATTCAGTTTTGCACTCAAATGAATAGGATTGGCACAAAACACTTTGCTCTTCCATTTGCAATAAGATAAAAGATTTTGCTTCCCAGATCTAGTCTATCATGGGGCGAAATAACTTACGTGTCACCGTTAGTGCTTGTCTTCCTTCTGGCTCTTCGGAGCTCCTCTTCCCGTCCCTTAACAATGGCGGCACTCTTCTTGCCGGCAGTAAAGACAAGCGACATGCTCGTTAGCAAGGAGGTCTTAAAATGACGTTAGCGTCGGTATTTCGAGGATTTATGATATGTGTCTTCTCCGCATGAGGCGTCTATTGGCCTGTTTCTGACAGCCTCCAATTGGCGGTGCCGTGTGCTCATCGCACACCTCGACTCTTTCCCATTCCACTTTCGTTCCCTCGCAACCCTACCCCATTCTACCCTTCTAGTAGTTACGTATAGTGGTTGCTTAGGCGACTGTAACCATTCAGACATACAAAACGCTACATTACCAGTGAGGTCGGGAAGTGGGTCGGAGTGAGAAGGCTAGCGAAGGTGTTGTGCAACACGGCAACCGTACAATTTTTACGGTTGGAGCTGTGGAACAAAGGAATTCGCCTTTGAATGGTGTATCACTCAAGGTGGTAAGGCGAAGGATAAATTCGCAGAAGAAATTGTGTCCTATAAAGCAATACGATTTACCGCACACCATTAGACATGAGTAGGACCATGACGAATTAACCAGCTCAATCACTTTAAAACCAGCTACGGCCATGGTTGATTCAGCACAAAATTTTCGGAAAAATGAGTAATTAAAGCAGAAAAACTGGGACTCCTAATTAGATGAATCAGAGGAATTTGAATATGCAACTTATTAAATGTTGTGTAAAACCTATTCGACACTTTTGAAAGACGGCTTTTTCATAAAACAAAGCAATGGCAGGCCTTGAGTATCATGTGCGAAGGGCGTAAGTCCTATTATCTTTTTTACTTTGGAATATAATGAAAATATTTTAGTGGACATTTTGTACCAATTGCGATACAGTTCTCTCCTACTTTTTTCTTTATATTTCTTTCACCATAGACCACGGGGAAAAATATCCTTTAATGATGACGAGTTAATGTGCTTCAAAACTTCCTTGAAGTAAAATAAGGGCATTGTACTCAGGCTGAATATGTGTTGCCAACGTAGAGAAGGGCTTGGAGGGCTATTGCCATTAACGAGATGGTCAGGTCACCCAGCTGAGGTACAATAGCAGAGCCCTTGATGTTCCTGGAACCAAAATGAAGAATAAAGCAACAAATCGAAGTATTGCTAAACCCCCTCTCTCCTTTTAATCATCGTTGCCAGCAGTCCCCTTCGTGAAACCCCCATGTCAGCCATCACAACGTAATTGGCGGTGTAATGAAATGCCCATGACCCGAACGCTTTAGCCATCGTATTTGCCTGCAAATGAGAAGCCACATGGCTGCAACGCTACTGATTCCTTTTAGAGATTTCATTGAATCCAAAATTTCGTACTGTTTGGAAATTGTACTGGGATGAGGAAGGAATGCGCTGGTCAACCCCCACATCCATCTCTAGTGGTAGGAATGCTGGGATGAAACTAGAGACAATTGCTAACATACAGGCTTATAATAATTTTGTGGGGATAAAATTTCGTGTCTGTTCCTCCCTGCTGCTATGTTCTCACTTCAGTGTTACCTCTATGCCTATCTGAGTTCCATCTAGCTAGTAGAGGTGGACGTGAGGAAGGTATTACGTGTTTACTTATTGAATATCTTCGTACAGGTACTGTAGGTATCGCCATCACCAACTTTTCCAGATGGTTCACAGCCACTGCTAGTGTCACTTGGGTTGTTAATAGCATTCCCACAGAACACGGAGCTATAGTAATTTCCGAAGGTAGACGTCATTATCAACCCTTCACAGAATCTCCCACCAGCTGCATATGCACTTCTTCGGTCGCGTTATAATTTGGCATTCGGGAATGGAGGTCAGGGTGGATGTCATTTGTCATCAGGTTTATTTTCCACTGCCACTCATGTAGCACCCCAACGCTCTTCACCGAAGATGAAAGAAGACGCACTACACGAACGGAAAATGTATTGTCAGCAAAAAGATGAACTAGGTTAATTCTGAGGTGGTTCAGAGGCCATATGGCCCAGCAGAAGTGCAAAGACCGGGCTTTAAGTGCCTGTACAACCCAAACGAAGCGTTAAACCGATAACTAAAGTAATACAGAATTTCGTCTTCATAAATAGTCTAGTTTAAAGAATAAATAGATCGTCACACATAGTAACATCCAGAAGGATTGTGCATAGGACTTGTGAGTCTAGGACAGTACAGAAGGGCTAACACCACAGCACGAAAGTGGTGGCGGGAGCAGAGGGCCCACAGGGCCCGCAAGGACAAACATAAAACTAAAACAAACGCCATTCTGGTGTAAAGCTGCGTTGTTGCTTTGAATATCCCAAAGAAATTTCTGAAAGGAATTTCCTTTAATTTAATTTCCCCACATTCCGCGAAGAGTATTTTTAACCTTGTAATACCATGCATTTTTTGAGTCCCACTATTTTGCATCCAATTCCTACTTCTCTATTGTTTACACTGAACTGATTTAATTTATGGGCAGGAATGCCAAAGTTCAGTAGATTAACTCACCTGAAGCCCTCATTTTGGAGTGCACCTCTTCACTCGGATTTATATGTGATGGTGCTTTCAAGCGTCTTCTCCACTGGACATTGCTTTTTCCAAAATTACCTTTAAAGTGCATGTTTCCATTAGCTAGTAAAAAAGCTGACAATGGATTCTTTTGTTGAAGTGATAAGATCAACATATTTTTACATTTATTTGACAGGTGGTCCGTTTCATAGATAATACGTCAAATGAAAGCCTTGACTAAGAAGGGAAATTAGAAGACCTTGTGGTAATGGGTACAACCAACTTTACTTATTTTTGGATGCGAGATGTGAAAACGCCTTGATACATTGCAAGTGCCTTGTACTGTTTATAAGAAATTTTTCTTTCCTGTTTTATGCTCAAATTCCACGTTTTGAAAGAAAACCCTGATAATAAATAATAATGCTTTTGGCCTTTAGGTAACTCCCATGGGGAAGAAAAGTGTTAATCTCGCCACTATTAAGGTTGCTTCGATCTACTGGGGCAGACTAATGAAGCATGGAGTTACTGCTACGCGACTTTGCGCACCTACTTTCTTTCGTGGTGAATGCAGCTTTTCAAATTAACTTACGCTTTTTCGGCCTTCATTGCAAGGTTCTCTTTTGAATTGGGATAGAAACACTCGCTAATGATGCATCCCGTACTCTCTTGGCAAATATTGCTCTCCGTTTCCTGGGAATGGGCAGCGTCAATTGCATAGAGCTGGACATAATCCACGACCCCTGGTTTGGATATTACCAAGGTGTGCAACGCGAAGCCAGCAAAAAATGCTAAAACAGCAGCCCTGCAAAGAGCAAGGAAAACGTTTCCAAAGCCGCACGAATCGTTCAAATCCTCCTACCCCGAGAAACAGTAAAGTCATTGTTCAAGCACCGTGGTTGCAGAGATTTGGCATTCTCCTCGTAAAGATGCTTCATCCCCAAGGTATTGAATCGTGAACATTGCCTAAACGCCTCCAACTTTTAGTGATTCATGAAATCGGTGGCTGTTTTTTAAGCGGCGCTCACAAAAGGCTCCTGTTTGTAGTTGACAATGTTATCCCCTTCTACAGGCGCCGAAACCCTGCTTGGTCATCTTCACACAACAATATGATAGTGCAATTTGCGTAAAGTCGCGTCTGAGTTGGGGAAGGTGCGAATATGACGCGTCTGATTAAATTGAAATGCTCCTGTTTTTTATTTAATTCCTCGCTTTCGTTTTGTGAGTACTCGGGGCTCCGCCTTTGTACTTCCGCTGGGCTGCATGTCCAAAGCGGGGTACACTGGCGGCAGCCAAAAAACAAACCTGATGACCTATGGCATCCACTCTAATTTTGATTGCTCAGCGCTAAACTCTAAAGTCGAGAAAGAAGGACATATGCTGCAGATTAGAGAATCCATGATTGCCTTTAACAAAAGGGCTGAAAATAAGGTATACTTTCGGAAACCATCCTAGGTTTGTGTTCTCCAGGAATGTTATTAAATACTGTAGCGAGGCATCATTAGCCATGAACTGTCTAGAAAGATTCATTACAGGCCTATCTTCTATGCCTATATGAAGATGTCAGTTGGGTGAACACGTGATACCACCTTTACCTCTCTACAAGCTGGATTGAACTTAGATAGGCATAGGGGTTGCAGTGAAATGCGGACGAAGTGGTAAGGCGGAATGGACGCGAACCCTGATTCCCACGGAATTATTTCGATGCCGTCCTTAAGTAAATGACTCGGATTTTGGGCCAGTGTTCTTGCGACTAGCGATGGGTACGCGTGGTGTCCAGCGCATTCTCAACTCTCCCCATGACAGTTCCCAAATAGGAGGAAATTCTGAGAGGGATCTGGGACATCGCGGTCGGGTATCCCGTTAAATGTATGTAAATATGATGACTGGCGTGGTTTGTTCGTGGGTAGTTTTACTTATAGCACCGAATACTTTGTAATGGCCGATGCAGGAGGTTGATGAAGGGAAGCGTCGGGGACGACGCTTAAAAGAGGAGAGGGGCTATGCAATGCTTCAGATGTTTTGTTAGCTCTTCGTTTCGCTTGTTTAATTCTGCTGGGCGGTTCGGACTCCGGACCATGCTAGTAACCCCAAGCCCTTCTGTACGTCAGAAATACACATTCTAAAGTAATATTATAGCTTCTTTCGTCTTCTGAAAAGAGTCAAGTAACTGCTAAATTTTATCTCATTCGCTCTGAGTGATTGTTGTCGAGAGCAGGACAATCGCAAAACGTTGTATGTGGTTGTATTTAAAGACCCGTGGCAAAGCGTCACATCAAAAGAATTGTTCCATCTAATGTTCTCTTCGTTTACTTCTAACGGCGTTCTTTTGAAATGCATTTCCTTTCAATAAAATACCTATTTAGTCAAAGTTGGACATGATTCAAAGTGGGTGGACAGTTTTTATCATTCTACTATTGAAAATAACTTATTATAATCATTGCATATGGATCCAGCACAAAGAAGGTATGACAACCTAATTGCTAGATCGCTGGATAATAACAAGGGACATGGAGGTCCCCGAAAATGAAACTCATCTCTCATGTCAACTTTTCCTCAGTTAACTCTCAAAAGTGATTGCGCTATCTTTGAAGAATAAAAAACACCACTGCATTACCTTAAGTAAAATTTGGGTAAAGACGGACAAAGAGTTTAGCACATTTGCTGCAGACATCACCTTATGTAGACGATCCGATTTTCATACTAAACCCAAACGTCACAAATGTGTGACATGTGTGTCCTATCAGCTCATGATGAATAATTAGGGAAAACCTTAACGCAGCCGGATTTAATGAGTTTGAACCAGCAACATTGGTGGTGAGAAGCTTATGGTCTGTGGGTGCCACCACTCTCCAGTTTTTGAGCGGCAGGCGAATTGGTCATTACGGGATTGAAGGCGTTGACATTGCATCCGACCGATGAAACCCCTTATCTCTGCATTAGTATATGCAAAGCACGCTATCCGCAAAAATCAACAGTTCTACAAAATTCGTAATCATATCTACTCCATTTGACTTCACTTATGCACAGTTTTTTCGCATAAGTCCATTCCCAACTACGGACAGTTAAAACTCCCTCTGAATTCCAAACGTTGCTCACATTCTTTCAAGCCTATTCCGCAGAATCCGTCATGACTGTCAATGAAAGAGGTAAGCAGGAATGGCAAATGTAAACTCTTTGCAGAACTGATGCCACTAAGTCAACTACAGGAAAGCGCTTTCCTAGAATATGCATTTGACCTCTCCCCGTACTAATAGGCTCTCAAGGGCAATGACAATAAGCGACTGAGACCACCCATTACATTTGCAACGGAGGTGTTGCAGCATAACTCCTGATTTTCGCATGTTTAATTCTTAGAATTGCTGTTGGAATGTAAATAAGTAATGCCGTTTCACTAAATATCCAAAAGCCGATCCTACAGCCGCAGACCCAAGTCGCACCACTTCATTTGTTCGCCCACAAACAAACACGAAAACTACGATTCTGCATGCATACTGAATGCATGGAAGACCAGTCCATCGTCTTCAAATATCACTTTCAAATTACAAAACCTTTGAGATATCTTTAAGATCCTAATTGGCTCATACCGGATCCTGAACTCTGAGTTCACCTGCCCTAGTACGAAACAAGACTACAAGTAGGAAGTACTCCAAGATCCACAAATTACACACCTCGTTAATCCCTACTAGTCGTGTAATAGACCTTTAATCGAACTGTACTTTCCATCCTAATGCTTATCCACAAATAATTCAGGCTACTGGGAACCAGTCAAGCCATTTGAGATCACCCAGTGGACAGCAAGGAACGCCATTACGAACATGTGAGTGTTGTCGACACGTGCTGGTGGTAAAATACGTTTTGTCAGCGTGTACGGGTGAAGGGTAGTCACCAGCGGAAATGCAAATAAATTGCAGAATGAATCTTCAGCACCGTACAAGGTTCCCAGCTTCGTTTCTAATGAAAATATTTGGCGATTCAATCCTCTACGGCTGAAGCAGCCCTCGGAACACCAAGCATTTATTAACCAAACCCTGCGTCTTTAGCCACCCACGCATAACTTTATTCCATCCTGAATCCATTGCCACACTTGGACAGAATTTCATCACAAACACGCGGAAGAGGTGGTGAGCCAGTAACGTGAAAACCGTGGCATCGCATAGGTGAACCGATAACGTGGACAAACGCCGTTCTCCTGCAATGTGAAATCCCACAGGCACTCCCAACAGCGTCCTCAACACAGCAGCCTAACAGGATAACTCTAATTTTGAGGCATTGAAAGAACCTACAAAGTGGGAATTATCATCTGGGTCAACCAATAAACAACCATTTCTTGGGGGTGATTGGAAAACACCACTTACATACACATTTGAAATCAGCCCTCAAGTCCTAAGGCTGCTAAGGTCTGATCAGCAGTCAAAACGAGCCCTTCAGACTGACGATTTATGCATGAAACCGATTTTGGAATCAATCAATTTGGAAATGTTATTTAAATGTATGCTACTACCGTGGCATCGAGTAGCAAGTATTTCCATGGATGCAGCAGAGACCTCCAGAAAAAGGGAAATAGAGTAAAGCAGGAATGGGGGAGTCTAGTTGACCGTCTCAGGGGAGCTACCACTATTCTGCTGCTGCTTCTCCTTCAGGTCGGAAATTGCCGCGCGAATTGCATCCTCCGCAAGCACTGAAATGAACAAATAAACAATGTCAAAGCACAGTAGGCAAATGTCAAACACTTTTTAAGAAGAATCTTTAGATTCATGCATACTTTTATCCATGAAATCATCACCAATATAGAGAAAAAATGCCCCTGTTTAATAGCCGCTTTACAGTAGATCACAATCTCGCGTCTAGGGACAGGATAATACGGATAATTTTTGGCACTACTGCAAACTCAAGTTGGAAAGACGACTTATCATGATGCCCAGGTAAACTATGCATGCGGCTGTAGCCTTGGAATAACTTTTCACTCATATTGATCTTCCATAGCGCAAATCTGTCAAGATACAAAAAATTATTGCCGTGAGGATAGGATGTTGCCACTCAAATAAAATTGATAATGTTAGGCCGAAGTACAACTTCTACATATACATAATAGATTCGGTCAAATTGAATGAGTGTTTACAAATAGACGTCTTATGTGTGTGCTGTGAGAGGTGAAGGACAGCGATCAGATGACTGGTGCCATCAAATACATCACATGATAGCTCTTTTACATCTAATGACATTAAGCGAACGGATAAAACTAATTCAGCCTAGTTAGCGTAATTTTTAACACCATTAGAGATGATGTTACCGATATTAACTACCGTTAGATGGCCGTTGTAGACGATCGTTATGCTACATGAATAGGCGGCAATAAATATCTGTATAAGCGATTAGACGCATATACAGCTAGTGTAGGGAAAGTAGCGTTTTAAGCCACTATATTGGGAATTGAAATACTTTAGTAAAGCTAATTATCTCACTGGGCGTTAACCGTCCCTTCTATTTGAACCTCAAAGGGTAAATTAAGTCGTGTCACAAGAAGCGAATTTGCCAATAAGAAGTACTCCCAAGAGATAAATGATACGGAACTAAAATTTGGAGCAAATCTGCTTAACATTAAATCCATAAAATAGCAGCTCTATAACTTGTATTGCAAAAACAAAACAATTCCAATTTCAATTTCATAGCACAATCCAGTAATGATAAATGGCTTTAAATCGCAATTACAGATAACCAGAAAGTAAAGATACATTATTTGTGTAGGTTTTGGAAGTTCCACAACTTAACATCTAAGTGGTGTAAATCCAATTCAGACGCGTAACAAGAAACGTACTGGAGCAGTGCAATTTGACAGGAGGAAGGCAGAGTTCTTTCGCAATGTCGGTGTTCTTGATGGTTGAGGCCTCATCGATGGTTTTACCCTTCACCCACTCAGTTGCAAGAGAACTCGATGCAATGGCTGAACCACAGCCAAAAGTCTTAAACTTAGCATCCACGATACGACCCTCATTGTCTACCTAGAACGAAAAAACCACTATGCAAATTTTCGCATCTACGGGAAAAAAACATTTGTGTCCACCACCAAGAAGCTGTAGCACTTGTAAATGGAAAATATCATCACTCAGGTGCCTTGGATATGGGTTGCAAATGTATGTATCTAGCCTACATTACAGACATTCCAACTAATAATTATTAACTCGGTATACGATAGTATTTATTTGTCTGTTTTTATGGTTTCAATCAATCGTGGGTAAACGTGTTTGATGACATCAACGTGCGTCCTAAAGCATTGTGACAAGTGTACCTTAATTTGTAGTTTCATCACATCACCGCAGGCAGGAGCACCAACAAGTCCTGTTCCAACATGCCTATCATTTTTGTCAAGGGACCCAACATTTCTGGGATTCTCGTAATGATCCAATACTTTTTCATGGTATGCGGAAATAGGTAGCCTTGGGACAGCCACAAAGCGAGAAGAAAGAAACGTCCTAGACACCCGCGAGAACATTGTCTACAGTATAGGCTCCTTACCAAAATACAGCTGCACCAAGGTCATGACTCCGCCAGATGAACTTATTTCACTATATTGGCAACATTTTATACCTAGGTGAAAAAAAATTACCAAAACATTTTAACTATGTCAATGAGGAGAAAATTTTCGATTTTTGACAATTTGTTGCCACTTAAAACTTTCTTTACATCAATGCTTTGTAAATTTTAGCTCTAGAAGTAATTTTTAATAACAGTTTGCCACGGAAACAATGCGTTATAAGCCAATTAAGCAGTAGTGATAAAAGCAATTGTCTCCTTACTTAAGGCAGTAGGAATACGATGAGATTATGTAATACGTTGGATGCTTAATTCTTGGTTTTGGTTAAGGGACCACATTATGTTCCCACCATTAAACCTTCCCCTGGTAGGCTGGCCTATAGGCCATACCAGTAGCTCTGATCTCTCCTGTATATTAAATATAGATGCGTTCTGGCCGGGTATTATGCCTTCTTTCATCTTCAAGGAAGTCTTGGGGCGCCTCAAATATACCAATTGTGAAATAATCATCTTTATGTACTTTACCATCAGAATCAGTTAATGCAAAGTACGTGAATATCCTCCGTCAAAGATATCGTCTTTCTTAAGTGAGATAGATAAAATCATTTTTGTCTGTGTTCATATTCATGCAATGCTACAATTTGCAACTACTTTTGCGGCGCCCCAAGTCTTTCCTGAAGCCGTAAAATTACACCAACTACATGGTGTAGCAGACTCCTTTAACCCATTGGGATGGAAAGTACTCTGATTCCCTTCAAAACTCATAACCTATGCACTCTATATCACTATCCTACACGCTCTTCTCATTTCATAGGTATGAAACCAGAAGCAGAAGTGTGAAATGCAGAATTCGTTCCATTTATCACAAACGGTTCATCTAACAATTAAAGTAAAGATGCACGTTTATTCTAACATCGTTTTCCAAGTTTCTAAACTATTACTTTGCTACATGAAATATTTTGGAAGTAGATTTGGAATGCTTCATTGTCTCTACTGTGGGCGCACCGCATTTAGAATTGGGTCTTGAATAGTTTGCAATTCTCTAGTCCCTATACACAACTTTTTGAATCACCATTATTTTTTGTAATATTCATTTTGTGCAGAATGACACTGACTAGTACCTCTATGCTTTTGCAGAACTTAATAGGGCTTTGTCAGGCTTTTTTAGTCTCGGCGTGTTTTATTATGCCTTGGACCCGAAAAACCCAACTTTTTCACTTGATAAGTTAGTTTCGGCCGATAAACATGCGCCAAGTTTTATGCATAAACGCCGTTACTTTGTTTGCCGTTCACATTTTTGAAGACCTTAAATGGTGTTTGAAGCTGCCCTCCACGACACCTTTTCAGTGTTCGCCCGAATTGCACCCTTCTTTCCTGAAGGAACCCAAATTTTCTTTTTTCCGGAGTTTCAGGATTTCAAATCGCAAAAGTTGACTTTGTCAGAGAAATATCTCATTTTCATTCAAATTTATGGTCTTATTCGGATCACATTAAGTATCTAAGTCAAGTCGTAGGTATTAAAAGTACCGACTTGCAGAACAAGCGCTTAGAACAATGATGCTTCTTGCAAATAAACCAGCTCCATATCATACGGTAATTTTCAGCTACCCAATAATAATGATTTACCTTGGGCTTCTAATGATAGACTTCTTTGCCTCTCGACTTAGAGAAGTCCACTAATTCATCCAACCGGTAAATGGCGGTTACAATTTGCATTTGTCAACTAATTCACCAGATTACTATAAAATCAGCATTTCAGATCAGACACGCACATGTTGAGTGAAATGAGGGAAAGTTAAACAGCCCTGTTGCCGGCTAGGATGTCGCTTAAAGAGCAGCCATTTAGGGTGAAACTTTGGTCTTGAATCACTTATCGGATGAGGTTTGGAACAATAAGTGGAGAGTACTCACTGGTTCGAAATACGCACTTTGGATCAACTGTACTGGTTCCCGAGGTTCTGCGACGCATAAACCATTATACCCACCTCGATCTGTTGCGAAAATGAATTCGTAAACAACTTTTATTCCCATCAAAATTAAAAAAAAAAACACGGTTTTGCTTTCCACCTGCTTTGAAACACAGAGCTCTGGTCTATACAGTTGGAACCATCCGAAGTAAATTTTCAAATCCTCAAAACATCATTTTCCTTATCTCATTTCTTAATTTGCAAAGTTAGCAAGCGCTTTAATGAAGTACTCGCCTTTGATGATGTTTTTGCGTATTGTAGAGTTTCGAGCCATTCCTGAGGGGGTTGTTAGTTGTGAGTCTGGATGCAGACACTAGGAATGTACAAGAGAGCTGGTGGACTGTTAGCGGAAATGATATGAATGGGATACCGATGCGTAAAGATGGCGACCAAAACTGCCCAGACTGAAGAGGATGTGCAGCCGAGTACAGGGCACTAGCACATATTGTTCTGTTACTGTATAGCAACAGTAACGCGATCAGCATCGTTACGTACTGAACAGGACTTCCTCCGAGTTGGTGATGTAACATGCTAAAATTCAGGAGTAATAACATGTGAGCAGAAAAATTGACTAAGACTGTTGATTATCCACATTTTGCTCCTGTTCAAAGTGGCAAGGTATACTGTAGTCGCCTCGAGTCTTCCCTGAAGTAGGAAGAAGTCATAGCACTATGATAGAAGATAATGTCACTGATATGGAGAAGAGCTGAGGCCATCATCATGTCCTGGAGTTCATTGTGCTCATGGGAAGCACAAGAGCGGAGCCTAAATGTCCCGTGTAGCTAAACCACATAAACAAACAAACAATCAGAGCATCACAAGTTCTTATCCCCAGAACTCAGTAATCATTTAATGAGCGGCTGAGGTGTTGATTAGCATTTTAGCCCTCCATAGGATAATCTATTTACTTGAAAGGGCGTTTAAGTTAGTACAAAAAGCAGGATTTTTAAATATGCAGAAGGCGGCGCCTTATTACCGCTGAGATAACTTATGCTAATGTTTCTCTAGGTCCTCAAATCGTGCGGCATTGTCAAATGCGCGCCCCCAACAATTACACTAGTCGAATCTCAAGTCGAGGCTGAAGTTGTGAGAGGAGTTACCAAATTGTTATAAACAAGCACCGTTTGGGGATTAATGACCGTTATTACGAGCTTTAGACATCTGGGTGCGTTGGATGAATGTCCCCCTCGTTAAGCATCCAACGCTCATTTGAAGCCAATGGCATAAGTCTTCTCAGCCAGTTATTGTTTATCCGCTGCACTGTTGCAATATTATTTACGATTTTCAGAGTGCCGCGCTTCTAGTTTATTTGGCAACAACATTTATGAAAATTATGGTAAATTGGACGCCGGGATGAGTAAGCATAATGTGTTTGCCGTCTGAGTAGAAATTCATCTATATATATATATATAGAACTACTCGCTTAAGCTGCAATAGTTCGATTGCTTGTTTAAAACTTCGTCTTAGTTTCGCGCGCACTTAAGGCTCCGCCTTTGTACTTCTGTCGGGCGGTATGTTTGCCATGCCATGCCAATGGTCCCTTAGCCCTTCTCTACGTTGGCAACTCACATCCTGCCCTAGTTCTGCAACTTTGTTCGTCTTTAGGTAAGTCACGGGACGCTGCATTGGCGGCAGCGGAAAGCAAACCTGACCCTAAAGGACAAATACCCCGATCTCCATTCCCGAATGCCAAACTTTAACGTGACCGATGAAGTGCATATGCTGGGAATGGGAGAATCTGTGAAGGGTTGATAATGAAGTCTACCTTTGGCAACTACTACAGTCCCATGTTCTGTGGTAATGCTATTAACAACTGAAGTGGCAACAGCAGTGGCTGTGAAACATCTGGAGAAGTTCCTTATGGAGAGGTCAACGGTACCTGGATGGTGTCAATTAGGTGGACACACGATATCTCCTCCAGCTCTTTACTAGCTGGATGGAACCCAGACAAAAATATATGACTGGGCACCACTGAATTGAGGGTAAGGTGACAAGGAGGAATAGGCACGAAAAATTGTTCTCCCGGAAATATTTAAGACTCTATCTTGCATTAAAAGACTGCTTTTGGGATAGTTTTTGTACACCATTCCCCAAAAACAATTCCTAATCAGGACAGAACTGCAGATCTAGTGGAATTGCCACGACGGATATCTCCTCGGTTGCGCACAAATTCGATGACTGCTGCGGTTGCCTCGTGGGTGTCTCTTATAGTACTGATTGCGTTTTCATGGTCGACGCAGGCGTTTGACTAAGGGTAGCGTCGGAGACGACTGTCAAAAGGAGAGGGGGTTATGGGATCTTTTGATATTTTGTTCAATTCTTCGTTTTATTTTCGCGGGCACTTTAGGTCGCACGATTGTACTTTCGCTAAGTGGCATGGGCCTCCAGACCACAATCGGGGAAGCTACAGTAGGGAAACAAAGTGTATTTATCTGGCTGTGGGTCAAAGCCCAGTCCGATTTACGGTTCTCTGCTTCAGTATAGTTCCAAAAATATATTTTTAGTACTTATTTTTTGGTGTTAAGTACTATTTGAGGAACCTAAAGTGACTGGTCGCTTCAACTGTGCGTGTATTTACAAATGGTATTCGCAGCACTGCAGCTACTCCCGCACGGTGAACAAAGCCTTTGTTTCCTACCCTTCCTTTGATTAGTACAAATGACTTTGTAGTTTTGAGTCAGTGCGGTAACTCAATGTTAAGTCAAGGAACACGTTAGGATCTTCCAAACCGGTGTCATCTTTCAAGAGTCGTTGAACAGTACTAAGTCCCCGAACTCCATCGTTTTTGGGTACATTTTCGCGTTTAACCGCCTGTCGCTTTAGGGCGGGTCACTTGCCATGTCCTAAGTCAAATAGAGTTGTATTTTTTTCTCACCTCCAAAAGTACAACCCATTTGAGTACTTCCCTTGGTATGACGTGACGCTGTTGCGAAGATTTTAACGATAAATTAACTTGGGATACCTAACTTCTTTTTTGGCATGGAGCACTTGA